GCTAAAGTTTTAAATATTAAATTATACTGATTTTTAGATAAAAATTTAAAATATACTTATGCCAGAATTTCATTCTGTAATGGCAGTATTTGGTGAGCTGAAGACATTTTCATTACTATTAATAAGAATAAAGAGTAGGCCGAAACCGGTTTGGCTCAGTGGATAGAGCGTTGTGGACTGAAGGGTCCCAGGTTCGATTCCGGTCAAGGGCATGTACATTGGCTGCGGGCACATCCACAGTGGGGGGTGTCCAGGAGGCAGCTGGTCGATGTTTCTCTCTCATCGATGTTGCTGGCTCTCTATCCCTCTCCCTTCCTCTCTGTACAAAATCAATAAAATATATTAAAAAAAAAAAAAGAATCAAGAGTAGTAGCCAACATTTCAAGAGTACTTTCTATATGTCACTTTGTATATATAAGCATTTTATCTTTTCTAGTCTCTCATAACCAACCAGTGAAATGAGCACTATTAGTAACCCTATCTTACAAATGAGGAAACTAAAGGAAAAGAGACGCAACTTGTTTCAGGCCAAATGCCTAGAAGTGCTTAGAAATTCAGTGACCTAAGACTATTATTATGTACTAAATACATATAGTATATATCACTATAATTGCTATTAGTGAAAAATGCTTCAGTAAACATCTCTGTAGAGATATATACATATACATACACATGGACAATGAAATCCTTAGGTTATATCACTGAAGTTGAGTTATTCAGTCAAAGAATATGCACTTTAAAATTTTTTGTATATACCGCCAAATGGGTCTCCAGAAAGAGGTACCTGAATTCATATTCCTACCAACAGTCTATAAGAGGTTTTATTTTTTTTACAACCTTTCCAACAATGAGAAATATTAATTGTTAAAATCTTAATCTGATAGCCAAAAATATAATTTTTAAATTAATTTACATTTCTCTTATTAGTGAGGCTGAACAGACTCATTGTACTTGTTACCCATATCTGTTTCTTTGGCTATGCCCAGTCTGATCTTTGCTTGTTTTTCTATTGTTATACATGTCTTTTTCTCCTGACTATAATTATATTTATGTACATGTATATGTGCAATATTTTTAATGTTTATATAAAAAACTTATTATTTACTTTATAATAATATGAAAGGTCTTTCCCTGTACCAAAATTATATTTTAATAATCTTATAGCACATGATTCTTTTAGAATATATAATTTTGGTGAGAAGTGAAGATCTCTACATTTTTTTCTCACATAATTTTTTCTCACATATCCCATCATTTACTGATTAATCTAAACACTATCTACTATTTAAAAAAAGAACATTTTTTTGAATGTTCTAAATTCTAAATAGACACCCCGGTCTATTTCTAGACAATGTTTAATGCAAAAACTAATTGATTTAATTACTGCAGTTTTAAACAATGTTTCTAATCACTAGGGTTACTGGTTCTCTGGGAAGGATAAATCTTCATTGTATGGGACTATCCTATACAATACAGTGCAGTAGGCACCCCAACTAATAAATGACAGTAGAAACCCCCATTCATTTAGACCAGGAGACACCTGGCAATATGTAGACACCCCAGTTGTCACCACGGGGGTGGGAAAGAGCATAGTAGTGGAACCTAGTGGGTAAGGTGGCCTTATGCAGTAGGTGTCCTGTGGGACTCAGTGGCACAGTCTCCTTGATCACCTGAACTGGGTGCCCTAGGAATGTCCCTTGTGTGGGTTATGGTTTCCCTCCTGTTGTAACTTGAATCTTGATTGCTTCTGGTCCATTTGTGCGTGGGGTGGACCCTCAGGATTGGCCTCAACCATAGTGCACAAGCTGCCATGTAGGTGTTGACCACACGAAGTGGAGTTCACTTCAAGAGGGTCTGGTGCCTGCTGAGATGACCCTTTAAATATGCCACTTGTGAAGCTAATTGGATCCTGCTCTGATGTTGTCTGAACAGCTGGGTGTGTTAGTTTTGGGGCCTCTTGGAAGGAACTCTGGTGCAGGTCAATGTCAGACTCTGACTGTGACTGGAGCTGGACAACCTGTTTGGAGCTACAAAGTGATCCATAGTTTGTGGTTGCCTCTGCTGGGCCTGGGTGTGTGTGTGGAAAGAACCAAGCTGCACACCAAGGCTGTCTTCCACCAGCACCGAACCTGCGGCAGGTCAGCCAAAGGCCCAAGGCACCCGAGATCTGCCTCTACCTGCTGGCTGCTTCTTAGGCTCAGTCACTGAAGGAGCCTCTGGCAGTTCTGGAGTTGTATGAAGTAGGTTCTCACCAGGGGCAAGTAGTATTCACCAGACTGATACAGGTTTAAACTTGGTGCCAGTGCGGGGTCTGAGGCCACTCAGCAAAAATCCTGGGGCATGTCAAGTCCAGCTGCCATCCCCTCCCTACCCCCCTGGTGGCCATAGGCCTTTGTGGTGGGGCAGGGTCTCAGAGTCATCAGGGTGAGGCCAACAGTTTATCTTGCCCAAATAGACCAAGGTTTGTCCATGTAAAGGAAGGGCTCTGCACTGGTTGTGTATATGAGGAAAAAATGGTCCTTGTACAACTCAATATGTCCCAGAGTCTGCTGGCATCCTGAGCTCAGCAGGGTGGGGCAGCTGGGAGTTGGGAGCAATGGTGGACCTTTGATGAGTGAAAACTGATGTCCTTTCTGAACCTCACTAGTGTTATGAATGTGTGCATATGTACGAATACAGATGTACCCATGATCTTTGAACTTCAGGTGAGTACTATGCTCTGCCTATTTTATGGCATCAAAGTACTACTGACTAGATAATCTCCAATCACTTTGTACCTATTTCTGCCATATTAATGGGTTTTAAGTAATGGAAAATGTAGGTGATAGGACAGGTTCTGGAGTCTGAGTACTCCATTTACTAGCTGTGTTAAGTTTGGACATATTCCTTAATTCTCTGAGCTTTGGTTCCTTTATTTGTATAATTAGAGACCTCACAAAGTTATTATGTTGACTGACCTATTAATATATGTGAAGTTTGTCACAAGGAAACCAGAGTGTTTACTAGTTATCACAATCTCGATCCTAATCTCTTTAGATGTCTTTCCCCCCCTGTAATTCTCACAAAAATCCTATAAGACAAGTTATAATAAGATACCCCTTTATGGATAAGAAAATATGATCCAGGAAAAGGTTAAGTAACTTGTCCATGAATTTACAACTAAGTAGTAGAACTAGTATTAGAATGTAATCTTAGTCACATGCACAAACCAAGTTTCCTAACAACTATGCAACTATGGGCATTCTAGCATCACAGATACTATGGATAATCAACTATCTCCCCTTGCTGTGGCCGTCCTAATATTTATATCTGAACAAGGGATTTTATTACATTCTAGAGGCCCAGTACATAAAAATTCATGCACTGGGGATGTACCTGTAAACCAGGCCTGCCCCCTCTTACAGTCCAGGAGCCCTGAGGGGTGGGAGGCGACCAGGTGATTAGGGTAAGGCAATGCCCCCATCACACCTGTGTTGCTGTCACTGCCAGCAGCACAAGCCTCAGCCAGCCCTGGTTACCTGAGCCTCAGATGGCCCTGGGTGGCTGGGCAGTCACCATCCAAGGCTTGCCTGTACCTCAGGCCCATTCTGGGCAACTGGGCAGCTGCCATTCGAGGCTTGTCTGCGCCTCAGGCTAGCCCTGGGTGCCTCCATCTTGTGGCTGTGGGTGCTGCCATCTTTGAGGGCGTGACAGTAAATTAGCATATTCCCTCCCTATTGGCTGTGGGTGTTGCCATCTTTATGAGGGCATGATGGTCAATTAGCATATCCCCTCTTTATTAGATAGAATGTGCACACACATATCAATTGTATCCATTATATGTAGTTCTCCAAAAGAGGTTGAAAACCAAGGCACTATAGTACATTTATCAAAATTTGTTCCTATGCTTTTGTCTCCTTTCCAGGCCAGTGACCCCACCAAGAAAAAGGGAGCTATGTTATTCATTTCACAGCAGATTCACTTCATTAACTCTATTAGTAAAAAGCAGTTGGCTTTCAACAAATATTTGTTGAATTAAGTATATAATGCACGAGAAGAGGCTCTGTAAAAATCACAAAATAGGAGCCAAACTTTTATAAAGTTGCCTAAATTATTATAAACTTATATTTATACTTTTATTTAAACATTTATTATAGTTAGAAAAATAGTTATAGAGCCAACTTAATAATTATTATTAACAATAACAAGAGCTATAATACTTGTTGAAGATTCACTATATGTCAGGCTAAAAGCCTTATCATCCCATTATTTTCATAGACAAGGGCACTTTCATTGGAGGTGGAGTAGTTCCTTGCCTTTGAAGATCACATTAGAAGTGCAATTCTTTCAATTTCTATATCAAACTCCCCTTTTGTATATAAAAATATTTTTTTAAAGAAAGATATACAGAATATTTCTTTTCATCACCCCAAAAGAAATTCCTTATACAACAGCAATCAGATATAACTACATATATTTTACATGCATAAAATAAATGCAAATTCTTTTCAATAAAACCTCCAATAAAGATACACACACACACACACACACACACACACACACACACACACACACACTTGATACAACTAATGCAATAGAAAAATCATGAAAGGAATTCTAAACAAGAAAATATGACTTGGTAGGCCTTCTGGAATTTTGCATTAGCAATATCACTAGAGTAGAGTAAGTAATCAAGAACTGACATACAATTCCTGTTATTGTGGGTCAAATGAAATATCAAGGACTTCTTAGCATTATTGTGTTCACAACCAAATAGTAAAAGCAGGATGAAATGTAGGTAAAATAGTATGATATTCACTCTAATATTATATTACTGTCAAAGAGGAAAGCTTAGGAAAATAAAGTCACAAAAGTTAAGGAGGCTATCAACTTTGTCTTTTGTTTTATATTCATGCACATTTTCTAAGAACCTGCAGCATTGCATTTGATAATTTGTAGCAGTCATTAAAGCACAATTTAACAAATTCTGCACCCACATCAAATAACGTAAAGGAACTCACTGTTGGTGAATGCATATTCCTCTTCATTTTCATCACTTTCCTCAGACGGAGCTTTGTAAGGAGGCGGCAGCTTCATCGGAGGCGGAGCACTTCCTTGCCTCTGAAGATGCAAAATTTGAGAGAAGGGTAAATGGTCTCTGCACAATCCTCTTCTTCAATGGCAAATAGGATAAGAAGATAATATGTATCTAACTTCAGCTATATCAGAAAGATTATAAAGCAAATGTAATTTATTTTTTTTATATGTATGCTATTATGTAAAAGTGACTTTGGGATGTAAACACACCAATGAAGAGAACAGGAAATCAAAAGCACAGTTTTTGAGACTGCCTAGAAGAATGTATACTTTTTCTCAGTAAGAAAGCCAAGCATATGTTTTTTTCTTTATGCTGTAAAGCTTAATTTTCTTTGTTATTAAACCAAGTAATTCAAATGACATTTCAAAATTAAATCTCAATGTAAAAAAATATTCATACATTATTTTTACAATTATTTACACTTTTCATTCAATTGTAAAAGACAGAGATTTTATTCTTAAAAACATACTTGAAATACCAAGATTTGCTAACTGAAAAGGTATTCATTTATAATTTGTAGATAGTCAACACATTTCAAAGTTTAAAAAAAGAAAGAAATCTTTATGATGAATATATTTTGTAGGTCTAAATATTTTTTTTTAAATTTACATGCTGAGTGAATCAACACATCAATATTTTGTTCAAACTAAAGCAAAAGAAAACTCTATGATAAGATTACCTTCTGAGAACGTAGACATTTTCTGGCACGCTGGGAAAAATAAAACATGCCAAATTTTATAGAGAGAGCCAAGATGCTAAAGAGTAGGAGCGGAGAGATCCAAACACTCCACAGATTCCAAAACAACTGGATTAAGATTTGTTTTGCTACAGGATTTCAACAAAGTACATTCAATTATGATTTATATTATAAAACCACTAATGGCAGGATATACTTCAGTAAATGGACAATGACCTGGCCATTACAGAAAGCAGGCATGTAATAAGTTCCTCCAAAACAGAGAACACTATTTGGGATCCACAAAGAAAAACACATACCCGAATTTATTTAAATAGTGTCTAACAAAAACAATAACTCATATATATATATATATATATATATATATGTAGAAAATCCAAAAATTGATAAAGTTCAAGAATGGTGAAGGTAGATGTCAAATACAAAAAGCTTATTAAGTAGCAAAAGAATACACAAATTGCCCACTTGTTTTGCTCAGTGGTTAGAGCATCAACCCGTGGACCAGGTTTGATTCCTGATCAAGGGCACATGCATCAGTTGCAGGTTTGGGCACATGTGGGAGTCAACTAGTTGATGCATCTCTCTCACATCGATGTCTCTCTCCTCCCATTCCTCCCCTCCCCCACTTTTCTTTCTCTTCCACTCTCTCACTAAAGATCAATAAAAAAAAAAAAATATCTTCAGGTGAGGATTAAAAAATGTATCACTGTACCTGAGAATTCCATGACCAGCTACTTTAAAACTGCATCTGTACTGCAATTTAGGAAATCTCAATATATAAAAGCATTAATGCATCATATATATGAACACTAGAGGTCCGATGTATGAAGATTCATGCAAGAATGGGCCTTCCTTTCCCTGGCTGCTGGCACTGCCTTCGCTCCCCCGCCTTTCTGCCTTGGCTCCGACCTGGAGCCACCTTCTTGCCTTCCCATGCTGCCCAGAGACCTCAGCTGCCGGGGCAATGCAGAACACCTGTGTCGTCACCATGGCAATGACACAAACATCCTGCCCACACTACTTGGTGCCTATGTATGCAAATTAACCCATCATATTTGTTGGGTTAATTTGCATACTCACTCCTGTTTGGCTGGTGGGTGTTGTAAAGGTATGGTCAATTTGAATCTTTCTCTTTTATTAGTGTAGATATTCATAAATTGATCACAGTGTATCTTTAATTTTTGCTGAAAAAAATTAAGAGTCAAGTGAACAGTAAAAACAGCAAATGATTTTTTCCATAAATAGAAAGTTCTTTTCCTCAGAACCAGATCATTCTAGGTCAAAGACAATACTCAGAGCAAGGACAGCCAGCTTTTAAAATATTAAAAGATATAAATTCTTTAATAGCACTTTTTTCTATATTTAAGGGGGAATTGTTTACATAACTGATTATTTAATTAACTCTACCAGCACTCTGGAGAAGAATATAGGATCATCATGTCTTGGATGCCCCCTAGTTTGAATGTGGGTTGCCAGATACCTGGAGCATCTTTCTACTGTACATGAGAGGAGGGAGGAGGCAGGGTTGGCTCTCCCCTTAGCAATGAAGGCTGGAGCTAGGTATATACAAGGAGGCCACATGAATATAATCTCCATGAGGGCAACACAGTGTGGCATCCTCAGCTCAGAATAGTTCCTAGTACAAAGTAGGCTTTTCTTAAATATGAGTAAATAACTGGTTGTCACTCATGCTGTTTAGGTTCCCTGATAATATTAACTTTTAGAAAAAGTTGCATTTTTCTGGTTCATGTCCAGTAGCATTGCATATTAATTTGCCTGGAGATATGCAAATTATCTTAGTCTTGTAGAAAGTATAACTCCAAAGGTTATAGTTTGGTTGCCCTATAAGACATTTACCAGCATTGTATCTAAATTTGAATCTTATTTAAGCATTCTCTTTCAGCAACTATAAATATTATACTTCACTCTTCCAATTCTCTCTGAACAAGGCTGATCATCTTGTTAGTTCCTTCACTGATGAGTTATTTTTTTCTGGAATTACACTTTGTCAGTTTTGGAGGTCCCATTGAGATGTTCAAGTAGACTCACCTTCCAGAACCAACTAAATCGTGGTGCCTGAGATATGTGATTCATGAGTTACTTTAATCTGATACACAGGACTTCTTGGCTCCCACAGTAAATCCAGTGACAACAGAACTTTGTTTTTCTACTCTGTTTCTGCACTAAAATTTTTTCAATTCTGTTTTTGTTACTGAAAGCACTCTGCGTGTATGAAACTGAGAAAAGCCATTTCCTTTCGTTGTGAGTCTGCAATATTTTTCTACAATCAGAGGGTATAAATAAACTAGATGTAAGTTTCCTAGAGAATCTCTTTCTGGTTGGTGTACAGAGGCTTAAAGGTGTTATTTAAATTGAATATTCCCATATGTGTGCTTATAAAAGAATATTGCAGATTCTTTTATAGTATTACTGGCCAATTCTAAGGCCTAGCACAATATGGAATATCACTAATGGAACTCGATATTATCTGTTGCTGTTAAGAATGGTGAGAGAGCCAAAACAGGTTTGGCTAAATGGATAGAGCATCAGCCTGCAGACTGAAAGGTCCCAGGTTCGATTCTGGTCAAGGGCATGTACCCAGGCAGCCGATCGATGTTTCTCTCTCATCGATGTTTCTAACTTTCTATTCCTCTCTCCTCTTCTCTGTAAAAAATCAATAAAAAATATGTTTAAAAAAAAGAATGGTGAGAGAGCATACATCCTGTAAGACCATAGTGCCCTCAGGAAGTGCCTTCATGAGATTCCCCTTAGTCCCGGTATCTAGCATGTTCAGATTTTTCACTTGGAATAGATGTGTAATTTACATATAATAAAATGTACTCATTTTAAGAACTCACCTGAAATAAATACATTTTTATAATGTATTTTACCAACATAATTGTTCCTAAAAATATAGTCATATTAAACTTACAGTTGACTACAGATATCCTTGTATTGAAAATCAATTTGATTTAATGGAACAGGCCAAAGTTGATAAGAATTATTCATTTATCTTTACCCTTCCTTAGAATCTTATGTGGAATTTCCCTCAATCAAATAATTACTTCATGTCCCCCAAAGTAATTAAATTAGTAACCAGTTTATTCATCTATGTGTTTATTATCTGTGACCCACAGACCAATCCCTCAACTGTTTTCTTTCAGACGTTACATCCTGATTACTTCACAATAACTAGCAAACTTTAAGTTTCCAATATACGATTGATGAATACTCAGAATCAACATATAAATTCACAAACTTCCAGCAATAACACAGATCAAATTTTCTGAGATACCCTTTTGAACCTTATAAAAATGACAAATAGGGTTTCAAAATGTGCTTTTGTAACATGTGACCAAGAACAGAAATCTCCATAAATACTAAAGGGCATGGCCTGAAGCCTGTGGTTTTCTTTTGTGTGTGTTTTGTGTAAATTTTTTTGTTACTCCTCACTCGAGGATGTGTGCGTGTGTGTGTGTGTGTGTGTGTGTGTGTATACACAAATGAGATTGATTTCAGAGAGGAAGGGAGAGGAGGAGAGAGATAGAAACATCAATGACAAGAGAGAATCATTGATTGACTGCTTCCTGCACACCCCACACTGAGGATTGAGCCTGCAACCCAGGCATGTGTCCTGACTTGGAATCAAAACATGACAGGTTCATAGGTTGATGCTCAACCACTGAGCAATGACGGCCAGGCTCTTTTATTTTGTTTTGAGGAGTCTGTTTTAAAAATTGTTTTCATAGGTCAATAATGCTTTATTTTTTTTCTTTAAAAAAAAAAAACATACTGGGGTGACACTGGCTAACAAAATTATACAAGTTTCAAGATCATAATTCTACAACACATCATCTGTAAACTCTATTGTATGTTCACCACTTCAAGTCAAGTCTCAGTTCATCACCACTTATTTCCACTACACCCTCTTCCACCTCCCTCCACTTCACATGGGCAATCAGACTTGATGGTCCATGAGTATCTCTGTTTTGAGGAGTCTTTATTTGATCACCGATCAACGAGTATGTATTGTGTGCCTATTAGGTGTCAGGCAATGTTCTGAGCAATGGGGACTATTACAAAACAGAAGAGATACCTATCCTCATGGAGCTTACTAGTATGTTCCAGCTCCTCTCAGATGACATGTTTGTGGGTCTTCATGTCTTGTCCCAAAATGCTTTAAAGCAGCAGTCTCTGAATTTCATATTGTTTACTTTGCCCCACAAGAATGCAAGCTCCTGGAGGGAGGTTGTTTGTCTTTAAAAGTTTTATTATGGTATACTGAGATAAAGTAACATAAAAAAGTCTGTACACATTTCATAGTGTTCAATTTGAATCAGTTACCAATCAAGATAACGTATATTACCATCACCCTCAGAACTTTCCTCCTGTCTCTCTTTAATCCCTCCTTCAGGCCTCTTCCCCTGGCTTCACATCCTCCTGAACTACTGAACTAGCTCCAAGTCTCCACTTGAGGTCAAACAATGTGAAAGGAGGAACTAAAGATAAAACCCTCCTACCCCCCAATCACTGCAAACAAGGCTCAAAAGGTTGAGAAAGAATTCTGCTGTTAATGACCTGCTATCTGTACATAACTAACATTTCTAAACACTTCCAGAATCTACCTCTTATCTGTGTTTATTAACAGTTGCCAAAAACAAACCACAGAATCCTGCACACACAGTATATGCTACTGTTAATCAGAATATAATTATTGTGACTAAGATCTGAACTCAAAGAAGGTGGCCAACCAGGTTAAAACAGATAATTCTAGAGTTTGGAAAGCAACCCAATGTTACTTTTGCTTATCTTTTTGAAGAACCCTTCCCCCAAATTTTCAAGAAGTCTAGATTGGCCCCAGCGTGCGTGTCTGCAAATAAAGTTGTCCCAAGTGTTCAATTCAGTTACAGCTCCCCGCACCTTTTTAACAGGGTGAAACCTGCAATAAAGTTAAAAACAAACAAACCAAAATCTGGATCACAAGCCTTCTTAGGAATGTTTCCTGGCCTTGGCATTAGTGTGAGATGGAAGGAACATGAAAAAAGAAAAGCCAGTATTCTTTGAGAATTCCTTACCAGCCCAGATACACCCAGGTGGAGACCTGAATTCAGTCTGTGTGTGTGGCTCAAAAATTTCCAAGCCAAAATGCCAGGCAAACAAAAAAAGAAAGCTGATATAGTTTCAGTAATATTAGATGAAACACATGTTAAGGCATTACTAAATAATGCCACATCTTAATAACAGGATCAATTCCCTAAGAAGATATAAAATCTTTAAACTTGCAAACACCTAATAAATTAATTTGAAGAAATGTAAAATAAAAAAACTAAATAAAAAATAGGCTAATTTTGCCATCAAAATGTGAGATTATTAGGTTATTCTGACCCTCCAAAAATCACTTTGTACATAAAATATCTTAATAACTCAATTAGTTAATTAGACCCAATGACTTTGTTTTTATTTATTTATTTTTTAAAGGATATGTTTTTGACTTCAGAGATGAAGGGAAAGGGAGAGACAGAAACATCAGTGATAAGAATCATTGATCAGCTGCCTCTTAACCAGGAATTGATCAGTGACCTCCTGGTTCATAGGCCAATGCTTTACCATTGGGCCACACTGGCTGGGCTGCCCTAATAATTATAAAAACCTATACCTAATGATAATAGCTATTCTTTCAAATCACAAATATATTTTTACAATAACTGATGATGTGCTAGATTATCAAAAAGTCTCAACCAATGTAAGAGAATATTACACAAACCAAAATCTCTAATTACAACTATATATATTAGAAAATAATAACAATAAGTTTTTAAAAAATACTGCAATAGAAATTCAAACATACATTTATAAATAAACTTGTAATAAAGAAATCATGTTGGGAGCTAAAAAAACAACTTAGTACAGAATAAGAGAAATCCAAGTTAAAATTTTGAGATGCAGGTAAAAAGGCACTTAGAAGGAAAATAAATTATTATTTTTAAAAAGAGTGGCTAAAAATTAATAATCTCTAAAAGAGGAAAACAAATGCTAACAAAGAAGGCACGCCGAAATCGGTTTGGCTCAGTGCATAGAGCATCTGCCTGTGGACTGAAAGGTCTGAGGTTCGATTTTGGTCTAGGGCATGTACCTTGGTTGCAGGCACATCCCAGTAGTGTGTACAGGAGGCAGCTGATCGATGTTTCTCTCTCATCGATGTTTCTAACTCTCTATACCTCTCCCTTTCTCTCTGTAAAAAATTAATAAAATATATTAAAAAAAATAAGGCAACATAAAGATGAAAACAAAATTAATTAAACAGACTAAAGATACAACAGAGAAAACTAACATGGTTCAAAAGTTAATTCTTCAAAAAGAGGAATAACTTCACGATTAAGAAAGAAATGTAAAATAATAACTATACTCAGAAAGACAAACCAATACTATGGAGAGAGCATAGATAATACAAATGAAAAGAATGTCTGAACAACTTTATGCCAACAAATATAAAAAGGTGATATTACATTCCTAGAGAAGGGTCAGTAACCAAAACTGATGCTAACCAAAATAGAGTGTGGACTGTGCTGCCCAATGGTTGAGCATCCACCTATGAACCAGGAGGTCACAGTTTGATTCCCAGTAAGGCAACATGTCCAGGTTGTGGGCTTGATCCCTAATGTGGGAGTGCAAGAGGCAGCCAATCAAGAATTCTCTCTCATCACTGATGTTTCTATATTTCTCTCCCTCTCCCTTCCTCTTTGAAATCAATAAAAAATGTTTAAAAAAATAAAAAAATAAAAAATCTGAATAGTTCAATAATTATTAAAGAACTGAATCCATATTTTAGATTTTTCCCACATAGAAAACACAGGACCACAATGGCTTTGTAGGCTAGTTTGACCAAACATGTAAGGAATAGATAATTACCATTTCATATAAACTTTCAGAGAACTAAAACAAAGAAAAAGACAAAACCAGAAATAAAATCTATAAAAAGAGTATTAAAATTTGAGGTCCTTTTTAAAATTTTTTTAAAATTTGAGATTCTTAATAAAAATACTTCATACATATCGATACATAAAATGCACAAACCTAAAGACACTAGAAGGCTCTATATGCAATATTTAATAAGTTTATCTTTAGATAGTGGGTTTATGGAAGATTTTAATTTAAATTTTTTTTTTTAGAATTTTCATTTCCACGGTGTTCTACACTAAATTTTATATTATAAAGAATAAGAAGATAATGTTACAAGATGTCAAATATAATAAACTCATAAAAATCAATTTTTTGTATATACTAGTAACAATCAGAAAATACAATTTACAATTAAAAAAGATATAAGGATGTCTAGGAATAAATAAAAAATTACAATACCTTGCTGAAGAAAATTATAAAAATTGAAAGAAAAATTTAATAAGTTCTAAAATGGTATATAAAAGGTATATCATGTTAATGATTAAGAAAGCTCAATATTATAAGGATGTATCTTCCCAGATTAACCTATAGGTTTGACACAATTCCAACCAAAATCACCCAACAGCTTTTTGGTGATATTTAACAAGCTAATTCTAAAATCTGTCTGGAAAAGAAAAAGGACATGAATAGATAAAACAGTTCTAAAGAAGAAGAAATATGTAAAGAAAATCGTTCTCTTAGGAGACAAGATATATTATTAGACTTAATATTTAGGTAGTGCAGCATTTGTGCTGGGAGAGACCAGGAGAAAGCTCAGAAACAGACCGCCTCTGAGAACCTGAAATAGGACAGAGGCTATCTTGTATATCCATGGATAAAGTAGGGCCTATTTTTAAAGAATTAGTTATCCAATGGGGGAAAAAAAAAGAAAAGAAAAAAAAAAGAAAGAAAGAAAAGAAAATTCATTGCATTTTAGAATAACTCATTTTATTAGAATAGAGGTGGGAAAGCAGGAACGGAAGACTAATTCTGCGGGATGGTCATGAATGTTTTCTCACTACAGATGACCTTTGACCTGCTCCTTGGAGGATAAAAAAGAAGACCAAAGTGGGAAATGGACTTCCAGGCTGAGAGAACACCAAAGTCAAAGTCTCAAAAACTCTCAGGTGCGCAAGGCATTTTCTGGGAATAAACAGACAACTCGCCCAGATGAGTAGAAAAGAGAGATAACGATGACAATGGCAGAAGGGTGCTTTAAAACATTTTACATCTATGATACCCTAGGTGTCTGGCCTTCATCCTGGCCAGTTAGGTTCACAGAAAGGAAATATTCTAAACATAGCACTGTTACCCAGGTACTCCTCAAAGTAACATTCTAATTAATTGTAGTTCAAATGGGCAGCAAGAAATAAAAAAAACATCTTTTAAAAGCTTGAAAGGTTCAACTTACCTTTTCTTTTTTTTCTTGGGTGCTTTGGTTCTGGTTATTAGCGACTTTGTTGGCCTTGTTATGCACACTAGGAATGGCCTACCACCAAGAAAAAAGGAGAGGGGAGAAGGAAAACATTTAAATGACTCAATCATTACATTTATTTATGTATTTAAAAAAAAAAAACAGTTAAAAATCTTAATAAATTCTTTGACTTCATCTATAATATAAAGACATGAGAAGCGCAATTCAAGGCAAACAATACAACTTGAAAAATCTGATAAGCAATATAAACCTTAAATTGTGCGTGTGTGTGTGTGTGTGTGTGTGTGCGCGCGCGCGCGCACGCGTGTATGATCAAGGGGTAATAAATCCACAAGCTTGTGTGTATGGAACCAGAAAGTGAGAATAAAGAAGACTAAAAAGAAAGTCATGATACCGATTGCTGTTCAAACATCTCATTTTGCAAAATATAGTGTAAGAGGTGACCTGAGTTAATTCCTAGAACATAAGACATATCTTTTATTGGATAGATTTACCTTATTCATCATTGTACCCCAGTTCAAGTATGTAATCTAGCACACTTGTGCACACTCAATAAATATTTCAATATTACTATTAGCATAAAGATGAATTTCAAATCTTGATTTACATCACTGAATAAAAGCCCAATAAGAATTTAGCGTGATTTATCACCGTAGCTCTGGGGCTCAGAAAGAACCTAATACATATTTGCACTCAATAAATATTTATACATGAATGAAAGAGTGTAATGTCATAGAAATAACTTTAATTCTTTATAGTACCAAGAGCACAGATTACTTTCTATAAAACTATTGAAACACCTTAGGAAAACATAAAAATTTTATTAGTGTTTTTTTAATTAAGGCTCCTCAAATAGCAAACACAAATAATCTTGGCATAAAAATCTGATGACAGACATAAAAATTAAAAGAAAAAAAATAGATCTCCTTTATCACAAATTTAAAGAAACTACCTGTCTAGGGATAATAATTAAAAATAAATAAATAAATAAATAAAAAGTTTATCTCTAAATGCTACTTATGGTAAACTTTTTTCACTTTTTGTGTGTGTTTGTTTGGTGTGTTTTTCTATTAATCCTCACCCAAGGACATTTCTACAGAAATAAATTAATTTTGGAATATATAAGAAAGGCTCGATGTTCGGAGGAGATCCAAGATGGCTGCACAGGTAAACACCTAGCCGCAGCCGCATACAACAATTTCAATAAATTACAACTAAAATATAAACTACAGGAAAGTCGACTGACTGGAAACCCTACAACGAGAAGCGAGGAGAAAACCAGAAGGAAGCGCGGAGGAGCTGTAAAAGCCTAAGGTACGGAGACATGCGGCGCGCGAAGAGGTCGGAGCCGGAGAGGAGGGCGGCTGAGTGCCTGGCGGGCGTTCCCTAGCGGGAAGGATATAAAAGCTCCGACTGTGCTGGGCCCCAGCTCCGACTGCTCTGAACCCCAGTTCTAGGCCAGACTCCGGGGACCCAGGCTCAAACAGAGGGAGCTAGACTATAAGGTGGAACCCTGGGGGAGCGGCGAAAGGAGGTCCCGGTGGCGCGCAGAGAAGGGACGGTTGGCTGTGCTGTGGGATTGCCCTGGCGGGAAGGAGACAGGGGCTCCAGACTGCTCTGAACGCCACATCCAATCTCACTTCCAACTGAACTGAATCCCAGTTCCGGGCTCATTGGGAAAAAGCCTACACTGTTTGGTAGCAGGCGAAAATCGAGGGCACCTTTCTCTCAGAGGTGCTTGCAGCGAGTACTGGAGGACCCTGAGACTCAGGAGCCGCATAGGGCGGGGCTGACGGAAGCCAAAGCTGTAGGCTTCACCCTGAAACCCCGCCCCATCAGGGAAGCTGCGAAAATGCTGAGACGAAATAGATCACAAACGAAAGAAATGGAGGACAAAAAGCGACTGGATATAGAGTTCAAATCTACGCTTATAAGGTTTTTCAAGAATTTCCTAGAAAAGATCAATAAGACCTATGAGGATATGAAAAGAGATCAACTAGAATTAATAAGGAATCAACAAGAAATAAAAAATACATTGTCTGAAATAAAAAATATTATACAGAGTCCTAAAAACAGAATGGAAGATCGCAAGAATCAAGTCAAAGATTTGGAACATAAAGAGCCAGAAGACACTCCTCTGCAGAAGCTAGAAGGCAAAAGAATCCAGAAAATTGAAGATAATGTAAGAAACCTTTGGGACAACTTCAAGCAAACCAACATCAGAATTATGGGGTTCCCAGAAGATGAGAGAGAGCAAGATATCGAAAACATACTGAAAGAAATAGTGACAGAAAACTTCCCCCACCTAGTGAAAGAATTAGACTTACAAGTCCAGGAAGCACACAGAACTCCAAACAAAAGGAATCCAAAGAGGATCACACCAAGACAAATCATAATTAAGATTCCAAGAGCAAAAGACAAAGAGAGAATATTAAAAGCAGCAAGAGCAAAGCAGGTAGTTACCTATAAAGGAGCACCTATACGATTGTCAGCTGATTTCTCAACAGAAACCATGCAGGCCAGACGGGAATGGCAAGAAATATTCAAGGTGACGAATAGTAATAACTACAGCCAAAGATAATCTATCCAGCAAAGCTATCACTCAGAATCAAAGGTCAGATAAAGAGCCTCACTAATAAAAAAAAGCTAAAGGAGTTCATCACCACCAAACCAGAATTATATGAATTGCTGAAGGGGGTTCTTTCAGAAGAGAAAGTAAATAAAGATAAAAATTATGAACAACAAATACGTACCTATCAACAAGTGAATCTAAAAACCAAGGAAATTAAAAAAAATATGATGAACAATATTAACTGTAGAATATAATAGAATCAGAGGTATGGAAGGAGAGTGAACTGACGATTCTTGGGGAAAAGGGGAAAGGGGGATGTGGGAAGAGACTGAACATAAACTGTGCATCTATGGATGAGGACAATGGGGGGGGGGAAGGGGCAGAGGGTGGGGTGGGAACCTGGTGGAGGAGAGCAATGGAGGGGGGGGGAAAAGGAACATTTGTAATAATATGAACAATAAAAATTTGTTTAAAAAAAAAGTCTCAGAAATGTTTCACTTAAGTAAAAAATGAGAGAGATGATACATCACCATAAATTCAGTGCTTCCTATGTGAATAGATGCTGTGCTAATGCTTAATACTTATTTCTCTATTTAATACACAGAATAACCTAAATTAGAGTTCAAAAAATGCTAGATATATTTCTTATCTTAAAGAATCTTAAAACAAAACAGAATACGTTGCCTCCCTGACGAGTCAGGATATCTGCCCACACTAGACCTACATTCTCCCATGGAAAAACCAGCTTAAGCTGAATGGCAGAGCTCTGGAGTGAGACAGAATGTCTGTTGCCATTCATAAGGTTTACACAGTTTTTTAAATAACAGGAAAATATATTTCTGTACACATATCGTGCAAAATGTGGAACACAAGAGGCTTATTGAGACTACATTTTAAAAAATATGTATTTTTATTGATTTGAGAGAGAGAGAGATAGAAACATCAATGATGAAAGAGAATCATTGATTGGCTGCCTCCTGCATGCCCATACTGGGGATCGAGCCTGCATGTGCCCTTGACTGGAATTGAATCCGGGACCCTTCAATCCACAGGCCAACATCTATCCACTGAGCCAACCCAGCTAGGGCAAGAAGACTAACTTTTTAAGAAAAGTAAAAGAGAGCCTATTTCTTGTGAAAGTAAAAAAATATATTTGTATATAATTAATATGTAAAATATATGTCAAAAAATTTAGGCACCATTATGAAATAATAGAATTAGGAAGCACAAATGGACTATAGGGGGAAGTAACAACACAAAATAAATTTAATGTACTGAAGGGATGACCCCAATTTCAAAAAATTTTCTTTTTCTTTAGATTTTTACCAATTAATTTTTAGAGCGAGAGGAAGGGAGCAGGAGAGAGAAAAACATCAATGTGAGTGCAGATATCCATTGGCTGCCTCCTGCACACTCCCTTATGGGGAATGAGCACACAACTTGGGCATGTGCCCTGACCGGAAATCAAACCAGCAACCTCTTGCATGGGACAACACCCAATCAACTGAACCACCCGGACAGAGCCAACAGGTTTTGTTTTTTAACATTAAGAAAATACATGATGCCCCTGTTAAATGTAGTTATGTTATTAAGTGGGGAAATAATTACCTCGGCATAAAAACTATCTATACAGGAATGCAGTATAAATCATGGGTTCTGCTCTCAAATAAGCATTTGCTAAGTAAATCTGAATAGATGCACACATTTCTTTCTAGCATGCTGAAAACACATTTGAGAAATTCAGGAGAAAAAGGTTAAATCAAAAAGGCAATATATTGTTGATGCATGTAAACCATCTGTTAAAAGCACAAGTGTAAAATAAAATACAACTAAAAGAAAATGAAAGTACAAGTTGAACACCACACAGTGTTGATGAGATTCCCATGTGACCATGGCACAGTCAGACATTGGCCTGCCATTAGAAAATGACTTCTTTAGGGGACTTTGAGGGAAAGACTCATAGTAATGCAAACTGGTAAAAAGTGGTAATGCATTTGGCTGTATTTCCTATTTCTGTGATGATCAATATTATTTGCAACAATGAGTGAGCCAAAGAGAACACCATTTTGTAAAAATGTGAACCTTGATTCCTTTCATTGGTTCATTCAACAGGAATCACTTTATGCTAAATACATACATATATATATATATATATATATATATATATATATATATATATATGGAACAAGTCATGGGCACAGTAACTAACACCATCACTTGACCATACTCCCTTGGCTAGGACCACAGAGGATGCAATGCTTGACGAACCAAATGCACAACGTGGCAGACTGTTGTGCTGCAGAGGGGCTAAAACGGGGGGATGAGTGATGAGCATGGCACAGTGCTGAAGAGGTTTTCTTTCTCTTTTTTTGAAGAATTGAAAGAAATTGCACTGTTTATGTCATCCAGAAGAAAATACCTGAGCTCACCAGCAAAGGCTGGACAGAAGCCTGGTCTTTTAGGGTGGACATTATAACCTATGTGAATGCTTTCAACACTTTTTTTTGGCAGGACATTCACAAGTGCTTCAGAGATGAATAATGCAATGGGCTCATTCTGGTTCAATATGGTTTCTTTGGAAGTATCATTTGGGGAGGAATAATCATGCCAATTTTCCTACTGAACTCAGTTTCCAGAAATAAAAGTGATGGCATAAACTACTTTCTCGATATTATAAAAGTTTAGAAGTAGCCAAAACTGGTTTGGCTCAGTGGATAGAGTGTCGGCCTGTGAACTGAAGGGTTCGATTCTGGTCAAGGACATGTACCTTGGGTGTGGGCACATCCCCAGTGGGGGGTGTGCAAGAAGCAGCTGACCAATGACTCTCTCTCACCGATGTTTCTAACTCTCTCTCTCTCTCTCTCTCTCTCTCCCTTCCTCTCTGTGAAAAATCAATTATATATATATATATATACATATATATATATATATATATATATATATATATTTTAAAAAGTTTAGAAGTAGATCCCTTTAAAAAAAAAATCTTAAATTTTGAATGGTATGAAAATCAGAAGGCTTTATTCAGTTCATCTCTCTCAACTAGTCCTGATGGTGCATAAACACAGCGCTAAGACAAAAGGGACTGAACCATAGCACAACGCGCCAGAGCTGAGCTGCCCGTGGGGTGAGGCTGCAGCAGGCAGGTTACAAGTCTGTCGAAATAGCATATTCATAACATGGCCTTTGGGGCACCTGTTGGTCCACTTTGTAAATTATTACTTTCTGTGTGCCTTGATATATAAAAGGTTGAAAAGCACTGCAATACTATATTTGAATGTAAATTTTAAAAAGTATATGACATTTCCCAGACACTATGTGTGAAGACACTATGTGCTTTCCATTATAAAGTTAAAAAGAAATAAACATTGTGTTCAGTTACAGGGCTAACAGGTGACATTGCTGCTGCAAACTGCAATATAAAATACTCATCCTGCCACAGACATCTGCATATCAAGGTGTTAATTCTGTTCCAAAAGAGTGATTTATTATAGAAAAAAAATGTTAAATACAGCCATTTTTGGATTTAGAATCCCCAACAGAATTTACAATACATGTTTCTTTTTTTTAAAACATTTTTTTTTATTGATTTCAGAGAGCAAGGGAGAGGGAGAGAGAGATAGAAATATCAATGATGTTAGAAAATCATTGATCTGCTGTATCCTGCATGTCCCACACTGGGGATGGAGCCCACAACTCGGGCATGTGCCCTGACCAGGAATTGAACCATGACCTCCTGGTTCATAGGTCGACCGCTCAACCACTGAGCCATGCCCGCCAGGCAGTGTGTTTGTATACATGCTTTAATAAATATACAGAACATTTGATGGTATCTCTAGAATGTTCTTATACCTGACCCTCTTTATGTTCAATGTATTGTATAAACCAAGTAACTTGTCTCCAAGTTAAGCAAATCTGGTAAATAGGGAATCAAGAGATAAAAAACAGGCCTATTTATTTCCACTGATTGTGACTTCTACCAGTACACACTGGAATGACTCAAATTTAATTAGGATGTCAAAACCGGAGAAAACAATGGAGAAAATGAAATTAATAACTAAATGTTTATGAAACCAAAGCTTTTTCCACCAATTCCAAAACTGAAGTAGGTGGAAAAGTACCTGGAGGCTAAAGCTTGGTGTACAGAGACAGAGAACATTTATAAACTCTTTGAAAACAAACGAAAGCTTACTCTCGGAGTGGTTGACAAGCTCTGGACAACGAACACCACAGGGTTTCCTGCATTCTTAATGGCCTCCACGGCTTCGCTGTGTGAGGCATTCTGCAAATCCACTCCAGACACCTACAACACAGACGTCATTTATTTCCATTAGAGAGGCGGTAGATACTGTGGATAGGTTAATTCAAAGTTATTGTGTATTATATAGTTATAAGGCTGCCACAGTCTAATGAATTAAACCAAAGTCAGGGAAAAAATCAGATTAGCCCATAAAAAGCTTTGCTGTTCTGGAACACATTTACAGAAGTAACATTACCTTCAAGAAAAGTAAACAAGACAAAAATCATAATAACAATAGCCCTGGTTAAATGTAATTACTCAAAATAGTAGTTTAGTCAGTAACAGAACCTTAAGCTTCTAAGCTTATAATGTCACCCCTGTCATCCACACAGTACCTATTTCTGGTGGGGGGGGGGGTGTAGGAGGGGGAGTGGGAATCTCTCTGGAATCTTCTCTCATTCTGAGAAGAATGATTATTTTAGGCAAATTGTCCATTATCACAATTAAGCAGCTGATTAATTCTGATCATTTCTTAAATTCTATTTGAAAAAAAGAAGTATGAAAACATCTGTAGGTTCATTCTCCAGGTATATTTTGTACTCAATACATTTGGGTAAATGTAGATGGATCCTTATACAAATCTCAAAGAACATAATTTGAGGACAGGCCTGTCATCTCCAAGACATCCTTTATTTAACAAACATATTTAATAGGACCAATTTTTCAAACTGATCATGTAACAAAGCCTTGGTAATTGTTGGGGTAGCTTATGGTCAGTGGATAGTGACAATTTGTGAATATGGCTTTGCCATAAGAGGACCAAAGAAATAGGAATGTTGGTGAAGAGGGAAGTGGGATCAAAACAGGTTTTTGTTTTTAAGATGCGAGCTATGACAGCCATAATGATGCAGTAGAGCGACAAACTGAATGAGAGAGAGTGAGAGAAGTGACCACTGTCTTTGGACAGCGAAGAGAGAATGACTTTTGCACAAGTTAGAGAGATTGACTTTAGAAACACAAACAGTTCACTTGTTGTTGCAAATACTGTTAGGATAAAAGATTGGTATGCAGAGGGAGCAAGGGGGGAAATTCCCTTTTGACTGTTTCTATTTTGTCAATGAAATAAGAAACAAGGACCATAGAGCGAGATTAAGGTTGAGGAGGAGGTGCAGCAGGTGTGAAACAGTTACCCAGGGAAATAGGAGAATAAAATAACTGGGGAAATATTACAGGATTGCAGGGCAGAACTAAAGACCCACTTGAGGGAATGGTCATGAATTTCCACCAGACAGTATGGCAGTTGTTTTCTCTGGTGAGGCAAGAGTCCTGAAATAAGCAGAGTTGCACAAGTTCAGGGAAAGAAAAGAAGGTCAAAGGTGTTGAAAGAGTATGCAAGGGAGTGATTAGGATGATCTATCGCTGAATCTGAGCAAAGTAAGGAGAAAAGGGAGCACCCTAGAAGCTGAGGGACAGAGAAGCCAGGGCCCTCAGGTAGGAGAGAGAAGCCTAGTGTGTTAGAGGGATTTAAAGGCAGGTGAGTCCAAAGAATGGTGAAAGATGGGGGAGAAGAAGAGAGGTGAGGTCAGTGAGGCAGCTGGAGCTACATCATGCAGGTCTAAAGGCTTTTTATTCTATTAGACATCCACGGAAGATTTTAATGCTCTGTAAAAGTTCTCTTCTCATTTGAGTTGAGTGAGGAAGAATAGGATTAATATTAAATGAATAAAGTACATAGAGAAGAAATTTAAAGTGAAGATTAAAAGCTGTCACAACAGGTTGATGAAGCTTCTTATAAAGAACCTAATCCCCAAGGCATTCAACAGTGAGAGAAGTAGAGGCACATCTTCCAGTAACAACCGGCCTTTGTTTCCCTTTTCCACAAAGTTAAATGGGAATCACTGAAGCTGGGAAGTTAGGGGGGCAAATGGAAATCTGTCCTATGACAACAGAAAAATATCTGACCAGCAGTGTGTCCATTAACACAGATGAATAGCCATTTCTAAAAGCTACATTATGAAAATTATTTATATGGACCTAAGTCGTCCATATAATTGTTCCAATACAGAAAGAAGTGATTATTATGCTTTACTTAAAACAAAACAAAACAAAACAAGCAAGTCATACTTTTCAGGGAAAAAGTAAACAAATGACTATGCTTGACAAGCTATATATTAAAGTGTAACATTTCAAGTCTACAGTGAGTTTGAAGAAGTATAAATTATCAAATCTGAGACAAAACAGTGGGTTCTTACTAGCATGTGTAAAAGTGATGATAGACAAATGAGAGAATACTTTATTTTCACCTGACAGCGGGGAAAGATGAGGGGGGGGAAAAAACAAACCAAAACTTTAAAAAAATGAAACAATAAAAATTCCAATTAGCAAACAGAAAAAAAGACATGCACAAACATATCATGGAAGAGGATATACAGATGGCAATTAGCACATGAAAAGTTCTTAATATTCACCATTAGCCATTAGGGAAAACATAAATGAAAATAATGAGATATCACTAAATACCTCTCAGAATGGCTTAAGTGAAAAATAGTGACAACACCAAATGTTGGTGAGGATGCAGAGAAATTGGATCACTCAAACACTGTTGGTGGAAATGTGAAATGATACAGCCACTCTGGAAAACAAGACTAAAACTGAACATGGCAGACAACCCAGCAATCACACTCATGGGCATTTATCCTAGAGAAACAAAAACTCATTTTCACTCTGGAACGTGTATACAAATGTTTACAGGAGCTTTATTTGGAATAGCCAAGAACTGGAAACTACCCAAATGTCTTTCAATGGATGAATAGTTAAACAGTAGTACATCCTGGAATACTACTCAGCCATAAAAAGGAATGAACAGTTGATAGTAAACTGAGTAAACTTCAACCAAATTACACTGAGTGAGAAAAAGCCAATTTCAAAAAGAGATATAATGTCTGACTTTACTTATGTGACAATTGTGACATAACAAAATTATAGACAGGGAGAAACAGAGGTTGCCAGCAGTTAGGGTTGGGGAGAAGAGTGGCTATAGAGGGGTAAAAAGTAACACAAGGGAGTCTTGTTGTAACAATACAGTTGAGTTTCTTCCCCCATATATTTATTGATTTTAGAGAGGAACGGAGAGGAATTAAAAGATAGAAACATTAATGATGAGAGAGATTCATTAATCAGCTGCCTCCTGCATGCCCCCTGCTGGGGATTGAATCTGCAACCTGGGCATGTGCCTTTGACTGGAATTGAACCCAGGACCCTTCAGTCCGCAGGCTGGCACTCTTTCCACTGAGTCAAACAAGCTAGGGCCAGTTGAGTTTCTTGATTGAAGTGGTGGTTATGCAAGGCTACATTGTGATTAACTGTGTAGAGCTATCAATACAAACCTGAATAAGGCCAATGAACTGTGACTATATCAGTATTTGGTTTATATAAAAGCCTAAGTGACTGAATGACCAAACAACCGGTGGACTGGTCACTATGACACACACTGACCACCAGGGGGCAGACACTCAATGCAGGAGATGCCCCCTGGTGGTCAGTGTGCTCTCACAGTATGAATGCTGCTCAGCTGACCAACAGGGCAGCCCACCAGCCCGGCGGCAGCCACTCCCTCACTCAGTAGTCCTGCAGGTCCAATCTCTGGAGAGTGAGCCAGGCACCAAGGAACCAGTGCTGCCAGCATGATCCTGGCAAAGCCCGACCACCTGAAGTCAGCCTCAGGCAATGCAGCCACTTCCCTTCCTTGGATGCTCCATAAGGAAGAAATGATATAAAAGCAGCCACCAGGTGGCTCCCAATAACCAGCACAAATATCAGTGGGATGGATCTGATCCTGGGCCCGCAAGGTGCCCCACCACCTACTCAGAAGGTCGAATGCATCCCGGCTGCCCCAAGCCCACTCAGAATGGATGCCAGATACAAGGCTCATGGCTGGCGAGTGCCACTGCTGTGGTGCAAGACTCTCCTGATTGGGACCTTAAATGAATAAAGCAGGACCAGGATGAGTGGGAGCAGCAGGTAGGAGCAGCAGGTGACACTGGACTGTAGATTTCGGCCTGATCCCCACAGGCTACCCTGAGGGACCCCCACCTGTGCACGGATTTGTACACTAGTCCTCTAGTTGTACTATAATTGTGTATAATTTTCACTAATATTTGGGGAAGGCTGAGGAAAGGGTACACAGAAATTCCTTGTACATTTATTTGCAATTTTCTATGAATCTATAATTATTACAAAAGAGGAAGTTAAAAAAAAACAAGATAAAACAGAATATAAAATATATAATTAGAAATTAAATTCAATTATGTCAGTAATCAAAATTAAAAATAAATTAATGTCTCTATTTACTTAGATGAAGATTATCAACTTAGATTTACAAAAGCAAAATCCAGTTATATGTTGCTTAAAAAATACAAGTAAACAAAATAATAAATAAGGATGCAAATAAAGAAAAGGGACAAAACCAGTTTGGCTCAGTGGATAGAGCGTCAGCCTGTGAACTGAAAGGTCCTAGGTTCGATTCCGCTCAAGGGCATGTACCTGGGTTGCTGGCACATCCCAGTGGGGATGTGTGCAAAAGGCAGCTGATTGATGATTCTCTCTCATTGATGTTTCTAACTCTCTATCCCTCTCTCTGTGAAAAATCAATAAAATATAGTAAAAAAAAAAAAAAAAGAAAAGAAAAGAAAGAAAGAAAAGAAAAGAAAGAAAGAAAGAAAAGGAAAAACCTGTACCATGTAATTACTAAATAAAAGAAACCATACCTGCCCCAGACATCAGAGTATCCTTTTAAAATGTGTATGGAGTCATAATTCTCTATTGGATTCTCATTGCATTCAGAGTATTCACACTTTAGTTTTCCTGCAGCCTTCTTCCCCCATCAACCCACACGGCTCATTCATTTCCTATACTTGCCCTAGTATCTTCTACAACAAATCTATTAATTTCAACTACTACCTTCACTCCTGTCATTCCTTATCTTCTTCCCTAATATTTTTCTCCAAAGCTACTTATTACAATCTAACATTCTACATATTATTTTCTGTATTGCTTATCTCTTCAACTAACATGCAAATGCATCAGAGAAGGGATTTTTTTGGTCATTTTCTTCACTGCCATGTTCCCAGTGCATTTAAAAACATTTTTTAAATTGTATAAAACAAATGTAACATAGAATTTGTATATAGAGAGCGTCAAAAATTTTTTATCCTCACCTGAGGACATTTTTATTGATGAGAGAGAGAGAGAGAGAGAGAGAGAGAGAGAGAGAGAGAGAGAGAGAGAGAGAGAGAGAGAGAGAGAGAGAGAGAGAGAAGAGAGAGAGAGAGAGAGAGAGAGAGAGAGAGAGAGAGAGAGAGAGAGAGAAAGATATCAATGTGAGAGAGAAACATCAATTAGTTGCTTCCCACAACCTTTTTGGTGTATGGGCCAATGCTACAATCAACACAGGGCTATTCTGAGCATTTTCATATGATGTCTTGATATAATCCTCACAATGATATTAAGGGTTTTGAATTCCCATTTCCATTTTATATGGAAACTGAGAATAAGTACAAATAGAAATAAACAGAACAATCTAGACTTAAACCTACAGCCTCCAGGGCTCTTTTCACTCTATCAGAGCTGAAACACCATAGCTGATATTTAGCATCATAGAGCATAAATCAATAACAAGTAGATACCCAGGTTGAAGATATTCAATATGGTGTCATCCAATAAAATCAATGCAAAGAAATGTATCAGATTCACACCTCAGGACAGTCTCAGTGTTTTGACTCCACTCTACAAAGCCTAACACATGTGAACAATGGATTCATCCTTCTTCCATCGACTTCCAGGGCAACTCTGGGAGGACAGGCATGGCCAGCGCACCTACACACACTTATAAAATTTAGAGCTTGTTACAGATTGTGGAAGAAACATGATGCCCACCACGGGCCTCATTCTGTTAAATTTTGAAATTGTTTGTTTAGTCAATCAAAGCTTTTTGTTTTATTGTTTTACTAGAGGTCCAATGCACCAAATTTGTGCAAGGGCCCTGGTGTCATCCAGAAGGTCATTTGGCTGTTTGGTCTAAATAGCATATTATGCCTCTATTTTAAAGATATGCTAACACTCTAATTTTAGAATCTTATACGAATGTGCAAACAACATACAAACGACGGCATCTAAATAAAATACACCAATTGTACACACGTATACCTCCTCACATGAAGATAGGCATTCTGGCTAAACGATTATTTTACTATTTCACATTACATTAAAACAAAAACAGAATTTTAATATTTACCTCAAGTATTTTATCTCCAGTTTTAAGAGCGTTTGTTTTTCCTGCTGGACTATCTTCTAAAACTTGTTTGATAAATATACCTTTAAGCTCCTCTCCATTCTTCAGGCGTTTTATAACGGTTTGTCCACCAACAATGCTAATACCAAGAGACACATCGGGTTCCCTAAAAATCTCAACACTGTAAAAAGAATAAAACAAAATGCACTCATGAAACAAGTTAATTTAATTTGTTGGACTGTTACTGTAAGTGTTCAATTTGTACCATATCCTTGTGGCTCATATTTTATATAAATATATTTTTATAAATGTTCAGAAATTGTACCTCATTCCTAAATTATAAGATATTATTGATAATTCATGGCATAGCCCTGGGCAGGTGGCACAATTGGTTAGAGCGTCATCCCAACATGCCAAGGTTGCAGGTTCAATCCCTTGTCATGGCATATGCAAGAATCAACCACTGAATGCATAAATAAGTGAAACATCAAATTGATGTTTCTCTCTCTCTCTCTCTCTCCCTCACTCTCTCTCCCCCTTCCTCCCTCTCTCTAAAAATCAATACATTTCTTAAAAATTTTACTTTTTATTTTTAAAAAAATATATATTTTATTGATTTTGTACAGATAGGAAGGGAGAGAGTTAGAAACATCGATGAGAGAGAGTCATCGATCAGCTGCCTCTTGCACACCCCCTACTGGAGATATGCCCGCAACCAAGGTACATGCCCTTGACCGGAATCAAACCCGGGACCCTTCAGTCCCCAAGCCGACGCTCTATCCATTGAGCAAAACCGGTTTCGGCCATTTCTTAAAAATTTTTAAAAATTCATGGCATATGTGAAAGTTTAAATTCTGAAAAAGATAGGTATCTAAAACAATAAATACAACTCAATATTGAGAGATTTAGCTAGGCCTCAATGTTCCCATCTCCTACCACGTTAGTTCTTTTCATCTACATCCATAAACTTTAGCAAAGATTGGATTAAGGAAAGAACAAATGGGTGAAAAAAATCAACTCTCTGCAAAAAGCAGAAAATTTCAGAACAAAATAAATTTGCCATTGAGAGGCTTGTTTCCCCAAGCTGCTTCTCCCAGTCAGCAGGTGTAATCTGGGGTTCTTTAAGTGGAGGACAGATTTTTTTATCTGCTCTTAAGGAAGATGGTTTCCTTTTCTTTCTACCTTCACATCATTTCAAAAACATATAGGATAGCACTTGACCTTCAAGCCCCAGCCAGGTGGCTCAGTTGGTTGGGGCATTGTCCCATACACTAAAAGCCTGTGGGTTCAATTCCTGGTCAGAGCACATTCCTGGTCAGAGCACATTGTGGGTTTGATCCTCAGTTGGGGAGCTGCCAGCAGGCAACCACTGATGTTTCTCTCTCACATTGATATCCCTCCCCCCCAAATTCAACAAATATATTCTTGAATGAGAATTAAAACAAAAACAAAACAAAAATCTTGACCCTCAAAATATTATGAATTTTGCTCCAATTGCATAAATTAGCCTATAATTCGTGCAAATATAAAAGTAGCTCAGAAAACAGTTCCTAAGAGTTTTTAAGACAAAACTGTAAGTGCAAGAAAAAAGTTTTTGTGGGCACAGTGAAATTAAAAATGCATGAAGAATAGACAAAGCAGCTAAAGGAAGACTTTGATAATCTTAATAAAGTACAGCCCTCATGCCTACATAAATTTATAAGAATATCTAAGAGAGATGGGTCCAACACATTCTGTTCGTACACACAGGCACAAGGAGTTGGAGGGGGAGATAAATTGGTATATGGTACAGCTTCACTACTGTTGTTGTTCATACATAAAGAAGATTTACTGTAATCAAGGCAGCCCTATCTGCCCTCAGTGAGGCAGGGATAAACTATGCTTAGCCCATCAGTGACTGTCATAAATGGACATTTGAAAGTTGTTTTATCTGAAAGAATACGCATTTTCCTAACATTGATTGTAGTCATTTTGCCTGCTAAATCTCTAGATAAGACAAAATAAAGCTAAACTTTGGGCCAGTCTACATATGAGTAGCAATTTCTCAATCATTAGAGAATGACTGGATGACTGTAATATTAAAGAAAGAAGCAGCTGATTGTGTTGTTCTACTGAGAAAGCCAATAATATTGTCAACATACATTCTTGGTGGACCCCAGTGACTGAAGTTTGGCGTTTCTTCCCCTTCACCTTCTTCTCTCTCAGGTAACTCACTAAGGAGGAAAAAAAAATACACACACAATTTATAATACATAAAATTGCACAATCTATGTATAGTTAAACAGTTCTTAATTTTTAAGCTTTTAAAATATTTACATCAATAGTTAATTGTCCGTACAAAGTAAAAATATATTGTTTTAATGTTCAACTCAACAAATATTCACCCAGCACCAGAAAAATCATAGATTATAAGCTCTTTTATTGGTGACACTCTATATGCTATTTTCAAAAATTGTGTGTTTGATTTGTGAAATATTTGTTCCTCTATCAAAATAAAAACTAGAGGCCCAGTGCACAAATTCGTGCACAGGTGGGGTTTGACCAGCCCACCCCGATTGAGGCTGATCAGGGCTGGGCCGGCTGGGAGTATGGGATACAGAAGGTTGGCCAGCCGGCTCCACCCTCTAATTGGGGGGGTGGGGGGGACGGCAATTGGGGCTGAGCTTGCTGGGATGGGAGGGACTTCAAGCAGTTGGCTGGCCCAACCCCCAATCAAGGGGAGAGGGAGCCTATTGGGGATGAGGCCCACCCCCTGGTTGAACAGGTCAAGGTTATAATTTGCATATTAGCCTTCTATTAAATAGGATATTTTCCTTAAAAATTTTGACCAGCTCAGAGAATAGATCAACATGAATGGCTTAACAGTCAGTAAACACGATCCCCTTTTCTAAATTTTTCTGTCACTCCAAATAATTCCCATCATTGGTATCCCATGATACCTTGTGTAGTTATACAGCACTTTTCTTTTCTTTTTTTTTCTTTTTTTTTTTTTTAAATATATTTTATTGATTTTTTACAGAGAGGAAGGGAGAGAGATACAGAGTTAGAAACATCGATGAGAGAGAGTCATCGATCAGCTGCCTCTTGCACACCCCCTACTGGGGATATGCCCGCAGCCAAGGTACATGCCCTTGACCAGAATCGAACCCGGGACCCTTCAGTCCCCAAGCCGACGCTCTATCCATTGAGCCAAACCGGTCCCGGCATACAGCACTTTTCAATTTACAGAGAGATTTACTTATGTTATCTAATTCAATCCTCCCACCTACCATACCACAACCATACTTTCACCCATCAAGCATGTTAGCATGGAACTGCTTAATAACAAACTGCTGAACTACAGAGTAATTATATAAGTAGTGCTATCTAATAGGGTAGAGATAATTATCTGGAAGAGGAGCCAGGAGTCCTAAGTTCCACTCTAACCTGTGCCATAAAATAGGTATGTGACTTTGGACCACCCAATGAAATAATATGTATGATACTCTACACTGTATTACTCTATATAAAAATGTAGGCACTACCACTTTCATTTACTTTTCACAAAAACCCCATGAAGTAGGCACAGCAGGCCACATAACTATATTTTTCACATGAGAAACTGAGGCTTAGACATTCTTCCTCATAGTACCTAAATCTTTCTTTCCGCACTAAGTTTCAATGCACCATTATTCTCTGAACTCTCAACTACGTCCTGTAAAAAGTAAGAAAATTCAACTTCCTTGCCATTCTACAGACTTTCTAGGATATAATGGTTTAAGAATAACTGTAAAGGAGGAAACCGAAAGGATCTAGACATTCCAAAAATCAGGTAAGAAATCGGGATCATTAGGGATCATTAACATCTCACCCACTAGCCAGATGGCCTTCTTGCCTTCGCCAATCTGTTTTTTATGATTAGAAGCATTATAGCATTCAGGGGCAAACAGCTGGCAGATATCTGTTGGTTACTTATCTAAAGTCCTCTCTCCCACTTTCCCTTACCAACAGAACTCTGTTATTCCAGGTGGCACTTTGCCCAGCTCTAAAGAAATACATTTGTGAATTTCCTTTCCATTAATGGTGACTGTGAGGATATGGAAGCAAAAGTTCCTTGATGAGATTTCCAGGGAAACTTATTAAAATGAAGGAGAATCGGTTGGCAAAAGCCTTTTGCTCTGCACCCCTCCCTTCTCCTTGCCTAGAAGGCAGAGGTGAAATTGGTGGGGAAGCATCCATCTTAAAACCACCAGAAGCCATCCAGGAAGGACAGCAGAGAAGAGGGGAAGAACATGTTTCAGACTCTGACAGACCACTTTCTTCAAAACTTTTTACTTGAAAAAAAGAAAATGAAGGCCCTGCATAGTTAAGCCAATGCTAAAGGGGGAGGGGTGGATTTTGTGTATGAGCCTTTGAATGCAATCCCTCAATGATACTCCCATAATTCCACCAATTTAAGTAAAGTGTTCACTTTATCATAGCACATTATTATTCATTGGATAGTTGTAATCATCACATAAACTTTCATATTATGATTACTCTATGTAATAGTAACAAAGATTAGATGAGAAAAAAACTGAGATTTAACTAAAGCTCAGCCAATATTAATTTCCTTTGCAAGTTTTTCATTTTTTGCATAAAAATTTCTCCCACATCCTATATAATAAAACCCTAATATGCAAATAGATCAAACAGCAGACCCACTGGTCACTATGATGAGCACTGACCCCCAGGGGGCAGATGCTCAATGCAGGAGCTGCCCCCTGGTGGTCAGTGCGCTCTCACAGGGAGAGAGCTGCTCAGCCAGAAGCAGGGCTCACGGTTGGCAAGCACAGTGTTTGTGTTGGGAGCCTCTCCTGACTCTGCGGCAGCGCTAAGGACCCCTCAGGGGATGTCTGTCAAGGGCTCCCGGACTGCAAGAGGGCACAGGCCAAGCTGAGAGACCCCTCCTCCCAGTGCACAAATGTCATGCACCGAGCCTCTAGTAAGAAATAAATCATTCATGTCTGTGCTCATTCCTGACATAGAGCTTCTAGAACCCTTGGAATATCCTTTTTGATATGGGTGATAAGAACATCTTTTGTTATTAATAACAATCTCCTTTCAACCAGAACTGAGTTGGTGCTGATAAGGTGATTCTTGGTAGGACCCTGGATAGTTTCAGATGGGTGCTGCTGCCAGAGAACAAATAGGTGATTAGAATTAGAATATTCAGTCCCACCCTCAGCCCCACCTTTGGGAAGGGGAGAGGGACTAGAGATTGAGTTCAAGCACCAATGGCTAATGATGTAAATAATTTTGCCTACTTAATGGATCTCCATAAAGAGAAAAGAAGCCTAAAGGACAGAGTTCAGAGACCCTCCAAGTTGAAGAACACCTCAAGATGCTGGGAGGGTGATGTGCCGAGAAGAATGGAAGCACCGTGCACACCTCACACCTCCCCACAATACCTGCCCTATGTCTCTTTTCTGTTTGGCTATTCCCGAGTTGTGTCCTTTATAAAAAACCACTTTTTAGTAAAGTGCTTTCTTGAGTTCTGTAAGCCCTCCTCACAAGCCTGTGGGAGAGGTTGTGGGAACACCCAATTTCAAGTTGTCTGGTCAGAAGTACAGTTGGCAACCAGCATGTGAAGTCAGGGAAATCTTATAGGGTTGAACCTTTATGCTGTGGAGTCTGCAATAACTCCATGGAACCAGTGTCAGAAGTGCTGTGAGGAAAAATAGTTCATAATAGGCATTATGAAAAAAAAACACATATGCATCTTTATTATGATACAAATATGTTGTCATTCTAGGAATTAAATTCTATAATTAAAAAATAAACTAGAGAAGAGGATCCAAGATGGCTGCACAGGTAAACACCTAACCACAGCCGCACACAACAATTTCAATAAAATACAACTAAAATATAAAATGGACATTGCCCACAGCTACAGGAAAGTCAACTGACTGGAAATTCTACAACAAGAAGGAAAGAGAAAGCCAGAAGGAAAATCAGAGGAGCTGTAAAAGCCTAAGGTACAGAGACATGCTGCGCACAGGAAGAGGAGGGGGAGGCTGAGTGCCTGGCTGGCGTTCCCTAGCGAGAAGGAGATAAAAGCTCCGGATTGTGCTGAACCCCAGACCCGACAACACTGAACCCCAGTTCTAGGCCAGACCCTGGGGACCCAGGCGCATACAGAGGAAGCCTGGGCTGTGAGGCGGTATCCCAGGGGAGCAGCAAAAGGCAGATCCCCCGGAGGCGCGCACTTTGTGTGCAGAGGATGGACTGTTGACTCTGCTGCCAGATTGCCCTAGTGGGAAGGAGACAAAAGCTCCGGACTGTGCTGAGCCCAGTTCCGACTGCTCTGAACCCCAGTTCTAGGCCAGACCCCGGGGACCCAGTCTCATACAGAGGGAGACTGGGCTGTAAGGCAGAAACCCGGGGGAGCGGTGAAAGGCAGAGCCCCGGAGGCTCGCACATTGCACACAGAAAAGGGATGGTTGACTGTGCCATGGGATTGCCCTGGCGGGAAGGAGACAAAAGCCCCAGATTGCTCTGAACCCCACTTCCAACCCCACTTCCAACTGAACTGAACCCCGGTTCCGGGCTCATTGGGGGAGAGACTAGACTGTTTGGTAGCAGGCGAAACTCGAGGGCACCTTACTCTCAGAGATGCTTGCAGCAAGTACCGAAGGACCCTGAGAAACACTGAGACTCAGGAGCTGCATAAGAGTGGCTGACGTGGCTGATGTGGCCAAGGCTGTAGGCTCCACCCTGAAACTCTGCCCCATCCAAGCAGAATACAGAGACTTTTAAGGCTATCAACTCAGGGAAGCTGCGAAAATGCCAAGACAAGGAAATAGATCGCAAACGAAAGAAATGGAGGACAAAAAGTGACTGGATATAGAGTTCAAAACCACACTTATAAGGTTTTTCAAGAATTTCCTAGAAAAGATCGATGAGTCCTATGAGGATATGAAAAGGGATCAACTATTATAACAAGAAATAATAAGGGATCAACAAGAAATAAAGAATACATTGTCTGAAATAAAACATATTATACAGAGTCCTAAAAACAGAATGGAAGATCGCAAGAATCAAGTCAAAGATTTGGAACAAAAAGAGCCAGAAGACACTCCTCTGCAGAAGCAAGAAGGCAAGAGAATCCAGAAAGTTGAACATAATGTAAGAAACCTCTGGGACAACTTCAAGCAAACCAACATCAGAATTATGGGGGTCCCAGAAGATGAGA